TATCAACGACATAATTAATGAACATACGTTTTTTGCCACCAATATCACGTGACTTAATAATAGTATTTGTCGGACTTTAATAACATAAAATTATAACAGGTAACGTAGCTTTCATAAAATACCAAATTATTAAAGTTTTTTTCTTGGGGGGGGGGGGCCTAGCGACGTCTGGGGGGGGCCCGGCCCCCCCAGGCCCCCGTGTAGTTACACCACTGCCTGTATGTATGTTTGTAAGTAACATTGAAAATGTTTATCGCACGGGCACATAGGAATACGTGCGAACTTTTGGACTCTTGGGAAATGTATGAACAAGAACCTGGAACATGCCAAGTGAGCTGGAACAAGTCGGGCAAGTGTTTGGAAGAAGTCCAGGAAGGTCAGGAAAGGACTGGATAAGGTCTGGAGCAGTCTGTACAAGTCTGGATAAATCTGGATAAAGTCTGGAGAATGTCTGGAAAAGTCTGGAAATCTCTGGAAACGTCTGGAAAGAGCCTGGAAATTTCTGGAAAGGGTCGGAAAAATTCTGCCAAAGGTCCCAAAAGACCTGGGGATCATTTTCCAGAATCCGGATCAGTCTGTATGTACAAGTCTGGATAAATCTGGATAAAGTCTGTAAAACTCTGGATAAGTCTGAATATTGTCGGTAAAAGTCTGGAAATCTCTGGAAACGTCTGGAAAAGACTTGGAAATTTCTGGAAAGGGTCGGAAAAATTCTGGAAAAGGTCCCAATAGACCTGGGGATCATTTTCTAGGATCCGGATCAGTCTGATCAAGTCTGGATAAAATCTGGATAAATCTGGATGAAGTCTGGAAAACTCTGGAAAAGCCTGGAAAAGTCTGGAAACGTCTGAAAAAGGCCTGGAAACTTCTTGAAAGGGTCGAAAAAATTCTGGAAAAGGTTCCAAAAGACCTGGGGATTATTTTCTAGAGTTCGGAGCAGTCTGTACAAGTCTGGATAGGGGCTGGATAAATCTGTATGAAGTCTGGAAAGCTCTGGATAAGCCTGGAAAAGTCTGGAAACGTCTGGAAAAGGCCTGGAAACTTCCTGGAAGGATCGGAAAAATTCTGGAAAAGGTCCCAAAAGACCTGGGGATCATTTCCCAGAATCCGGATCAGTCTGTACAAGTCTGGATAAATCTGGATGAAAGCTGGAAAACTCTGGAAAGCTCTGAATAAGTCTGGATAATGTCTGCAAAAGTCTGGAAATCTCTGGGGCGAATTCAGGAATGACACTCAGTGTGAGTGTGATACCGGTGCGACGCACTAGCCGTTCATAAATGCTATAGGCACACCGAGTGCGCGCACTCTGTGCCATTCAGAAAGTATTTCGGGCACACTCCAGATGTCGCACCGGTCACACCATAATTTTTTGATTGTCTTTATGTCAACAATGTCAACCATTCCTCCCATAATCTCAATAATCCCACAAAATATAAACAAAACAAATAAGAATTTTTTTTTTCATAATAAAAAAATGAACAATAAAATAATACATCGAACAAAAAGTGAAAAGTAAATATATATATATATATAATTTTTAATATAAACAGAAAATATTCATGAACAGAAAATATTAGAATGATTGTGAAAAAAGCGTGGGGTGCTCAATGTACGAGAAATGTTGAACAAAGCACCCCACGCTTTTTTCACAATAATTCTAATATTTTTTGTTCATTAATATTTTTTTTTCCCCGAATGACAGTAAAAGCGGCCTTTTAATGACACTTGACAGGATCAAAAGTTGTATTTTTACTGCCTAGGCAGTAAAAGTGGACTTTTACTGCCTAGGCATTAAAAGTGACAATGTCACAACGTTCCAGGTAATAATTTCACTCAATTTGGTATTTGAAATTGATGGTGACAATGACAATTGTCAAAATAATTTAATTATTTAGATAATAATAATGAAAGAAATAAATATAAAAAAGATATCCATGTATGAATTTGAACATTCGGAGAAAAAATTATATGTTTTACATGGCAGAAAAGCAGATTTAATGCCTTGGCTGGTTTCCTAGCCTCGGCTATGCCTCGGCTATGAAACACCAGCCGCGGCATTAAATCTTGTACTTTTCTGCCTAGTAAAACAAATAACACACACAAGCATCTTTATAAAAAATCTATTTGAGTTCCATTTGCCCAGGACCGGACCTAGATCGAATCTTATTTTTTTAACAGAGTGGAGTGTATCGAACAATGAGGTTATCTAAACAATAAATTGATTTTTATTTTTTATCTCGTAAACGTCGCATCAAACAAGAAAAACTCCCGATACCTTTTTTGTTTAAAATTAAACAAGGAATCAAAATAGTTATTTATGCAACACTCATGTGATTGTCGCACTCGCTTTCGGCTCGTGCGTCAAAACTCACATTCGTGAAAAAAGGTTCACTTTACACACGTATTGCATACAAAATTTTCTCTACTACCAATCAAATATGTGAAAAAAAAATAGATTTAGACAAATACTCTACGAACTAGTGCGTGAAGTATTTTCACTTTACGCACTAGTGCGTGAAGTAATTTACCAGAAAAATACTAATTTGATAGTGTCAACATCTCTCATTGACATTACTTTACGCACTAGTGTGTGAAGTGAATTACTTTACGCACTAGTGCGTGAAGTGGAATTTTACTTCTTCTGAATAGTGTGTAAAGTGAGTACTTTACGCACGGTAGTAGAAAAAATCATGTTGAATTTGTCAAAAATCTTAGGGGCATTCTACTATTTTCTTTAAAAAAAAAAACAAGAGTCGCTAGGTACGGTCCTGGAAAAGTGGAACTCAAACGGATTTTGTAGAAAGATGCTTGAGAATATCGCAAACACTCTTTGAAAATTTAAACAAAATCGCTCAAGGCATTTTGAATCTTAAAGTAAAAAGTCAAAATTTTCCGAAAATTTCAACACTCTGTATTTTCTTAACGAGACGTTTGCGGACACATGTACCGATGCAAAAAGTGATTTTCTACTCTATATATCTATCATAACTTATTTCGGACTCACCCTGTATACAGTGTGTCCCAAAAAGATACCGACAAACTTTAAGGGGTAGTAAGGGACATAAAAACAAACATTTTTGTTTATATAAACATATGTCCGCAAATGAGCCATTTGGGCTGTGAAGCAAAAAAACTGTGTGGTACTTTTATTATTCGCAATAATTAAATCACTGTTCACTTATTAATTTTGCTTTATTAACAAATGAATTATGATTTACAATTAATTGTTCAAAATGTTGACCATTTACTTCAATGCAAAGATTGCACCGTCGGGTCATTGACTGGAAAGTTTAGTCGTCTACGAAACACCTGTTCGTGATGAGGAAGATCTGTTAGCAAGAATACTGGCGAGTTGTATCCATGTAGAAGCTATTCCGGAATATTCCAGAGAGTTCGAGAGTCAATGACTTGACGGTGCAATCTTTGCATTGAAGTAAATGGTCAACATTTTTAACAATTATTGTAAACCATAATTTATTTGTTAATAAAGCAAAATTGTAAGTAAACAGTGATTTAATTATTGCGAAGAATAAAAGTACCAAACAGTTTTTTTGTTTCACAGCCCAAATGGCTCATTGCGGACATATGTTTATATAAACAAAAATGCTTGTTTTGATGTCCTTTACTACCCTTTAATTTTTGTCGGTATCTTTTTGGGACACCCTTTATATACGGAACATTTAATACCGAACGCACGGTTACGTCGCTCCAAAAAACTCAAATACTTCAGAATCTCCAGAAACATTTTGAAAAGCACCAGAATCCAGAATCTTAGGATTAAGGTTAAAAGTTACAAAATTAGAGTTATTTCAGAACAATTAGGATTCAATTTGGAACTGGAAACGTTGTTCTAGAACTCCCTCCAATCAATCTAGAATACTTTGGTGCTTCAATATAGGGCTCGAATGGCCAGGTGCACCATGCACCAACCGTTTTATGGAAGTAATGCTTCATTCTCACTTGCGCGAAATTCGCTGTTTTTTTGACATTGCTTCGACAATTTGACGTTTTATGCCTGTATCATAAGTCAAATTGTCAAAGCAATGTCAAAAAAGAGCGAATTTCGTGCAAGTGAGAATTAAGCCCAATGCCTCATTCTCACTTGCGCGAAATTCGATCTTTTTGCGCGAAATTCGCGCTTTTTTTTACATTGCTTCAACAATTTGACGTTTGATACACGCATAAAACGTCAAATTGTCGAAGCAATCTCAAGCGAATTTCGCGCAACTGAGAATAAAGCTTTAACGATAAGTATTCCTTGAAATGACATTTTTACAAACAAATGTCACTTTACTGAAAAACTTCTGAAATGCTCCAGAACTCTTCAATTATTTCAGAGAGCCTAGCGCCTGGAACTATAAATTTTAACATTCCAGGCTCTTGATTTTTCCTTATTTCTTTATTCTAAATTCTTGATTTTCTTTGGGCTCTTGAATTTTTTCATTCCAAGTTCTTGAATTCTATTCTCGTATTTTAGAATTTCAGGTTCTTGATTTGTTTTTTAATTTTTACTCCAAACCAATAAAGAAATCAATAATTCAAGAGCCTCGCGTTTGGAATAGATAAAAATTGAAAGTTATAAAATGAGTAATAATAATGAAATATTAGTCCTGAAGACGTCTTCAGGCAGACGTCTGGAAGACGTTATTGTAACATAAGACGTCTTTAAGATGTCTTTAAGACCAACCTAGAAGACGTAGGCAGACGTCTAAAAGACATCTAGAATGTCGTTATTGGACATCGTCGGAACGCTTCCAAGTTGTCTATGCAGTCTGAGCTGTGGTCTGCGGTCTGAGTGTGCTTTACAGAATTGCCATAAGTAGTAAATTACTGGAATGCCTACTAAACTACTAGCAGGTTAAATTAAACCAAACCCAACTCCATAGTGGAATTTCAACAAAAATATCTTTAACAATAATTAATCATAAGCATAAATTTTAAAAAATCCTAGATAGGTAGTACTTATAAAACCAAGCAAAGATAAATTTGAAAAAAATGTATGTTTCATAGCAGCAAAAATTTAATATAAAATCCAATAACAAGAAAAGTTTAGCTGTTCAATTCATTCTATTCTAGAATAGAATTTTTTCAATAAGTATACCTTGGCCTGCTTGATGTCCTACAGTTTAGGGTCAATCTCTGTCAGGAGGTTTTACTATTGGGAAAGGCTCACTTATACCCAATACAGTCATAACCTAATGAAAAATAGATAAGCATCACAATAAAATATGTTCTAATTTGTATTCTATTCTCACCTTATCCTCAGTTTGACTTAAATATAACAAGCAATAATTCCCTCTGCAACTGCTTGGCACACCTGGAATGGCCACTTCAAATTTCTCAGGTTCTTCTGTAGGTGTAGCGCAGTTGCTTATATACTCGTAGGTGGCATAATCATCCAGAGAACCGAACTTCTCCTACAATTTTCAAAGATATTATTATTGCATTGAAAAGTATAGTTAGGTAGTTGAGTAGATATCTGTTTTCACCCTGAACAATCCAATCCAATCTTCTTTATTGGCAGGTATTTCTTTAGTAATTTTATAATAGGCTTTGTTGTGTTTTTTGCCTCTTTCCCAACTAGAAACTTTGTCAAATTGCACCACATGCTCGGAGTAATCTGAAAATACATCGGAAATGTACGATAATCCATCGTACATTGTAGGTATTGGCCTTGGTGTCTACAATTCCATTTATTCATTATTTTATTGATTGAAGGAAGAAGCAAGTAAATGTAGCAAAGGTTTAATGAAAGGAAGCTGAAAGCAACAGGATGATTCTATTTCTGCAAATGAGAAAACCGTAACAATCAAAAGCTTCTCGCGGTTCTCTAAACTGATTTTTGGCAAATTTACCAAGCATAGAATACAAAATTTTAATATAGACAAACTTACAAACAAATTTCCAAGATCCCAATGACAAAAAAACGGATTCTTCCGCTTTTATCCGGAAGTTTGTTAGAATACACAATGAAATTGATTAGCAATATCCAACCCCAATATTCCAAGAAATTATTTAGAAAAATCACCTTTATAATAAATTCAGCACTGACTGGTTTATGATCGCTTATCATGTAAGAAGGATGAGACTTGTATGACAGCTGATCTACTTTTAAAGTAACATTCTCATATTTGTTTGAGTTAACGCGGTGTAGAATTCTGTCACACCATGCAGGTCTTCTTCTACAATAAAAATATAAAATGTATTGAATGATATTGAATGAATAATTATTGATTAGTTAAATGCCTACTTGTGATCATAATCACTAGTTCCCACTTTAAACTTGAATGTTGGAGCAAAATCTGGCTCTTGTTCAGTAAATTCACTAAAAGATCGTCCTTTGTTGATGCAATATCTTAGCTCATCTCTTTCCAATAAAGTCCTTAAATCGTTCGCCAATATGCTCCTTTCAATTTCTTCCGATGTCTTCTCATAGTCTGAGGTTAAGCGGAAATTAAGATCTCCCAGCCAAAAAACATAGCTAAAATTTATTATTAGATTCATTGGTTGAAAAAGGAAGAATTGTTTCTTACTCGTGGCAAAATATTTTTGAAGTTTCCTCCACATGGAATTCAAGGTCTTTAATAATATTATTATAATCTGCCTCGCGATCTTTGAGATTGAAGTCGTGAGCAGCCAAATGAGAATTAACAAAGCATATTGAGCAACCATAGATATTCAGACGAATACAAACTGCACCTTTAATACCCTAGAAATACAGTTGAGAACAGAAAACTACAAATATAGGGTGGTCCAAAAAAAAACGGAATTTTGTTTTTGAGCTGTAACTTTTTTATTTGTTGACCAATTTTCTTTTGTTTTGGCTTGTTTGAAAGAGAAATGAACAGGCTAACGAATCAGGGTGAAACTTTTGACATTTGAAAAAAATCCAAAATGGCGGACTCCTTCAAAAATTGCCTAGTTTTGGATAGCGCTGGAACTTTTTTGTGACACCCTGTATAAGTTTTTTTAATAAATTCTTAAAGTTCATCATTTTGCGAACATTTTAAGACCTCGACAGAAAAAATCGGTAGAAAACTAAGTGAAATATTGAATTTTTTGTAATATTGAATTTCAATTTTTTATATTGACAGCAAAATCTAGGATATGCTATTTCAGCTAGAATTTTTTTTTCTACTCGACATATTTCGTAGTTGGTCTTTTTGCGAATTCTTTACTCCGGATAAGGTAAAAATGTTCCCATCACTGAACCAAATTTTTCGGATTTCAGCACGGGCTCTGAATCTATTAAGTAGGACAGTTTAAATGTGTAGTCCCGTTTAACATGCTTCACCATTAAATCACTTTTAATTATTCTTTACTATCAACTATCTAAGAGAGCAAGTTGCGAATTTCATAGAGCCCGTTGACTGGCCGCCTTATAGCCCAGATTTGAATCCCTGCGATTACTTTTTATAGGGGGACTTGGAAGAAAAAGTCCACGGAAATGGGGCTACACAGAGAGAAAGGAATTCTTCCATCAAATATTGCGATTTTCTTTAAAAAATATTTTTCAGTTAAGGCAAGGCATCTTGGATGAAAATATTATTATTGATTTAAAAATTATAATTTATTTCTATTTAGAAATATTTATTCTTAAAACATATTCTTGGAAATAGTAAAACTAACTCGACTCAAGAAAAACCTAGTTTTATGTAAAACAACATCCAACCTGTATATTCTTGTATCTATCAATATTTAAATCAAATCAATAATCTCTGGTTTTTTCAAGTCAAGCCAAAAATTTAAATTTTACTTCATCCAAGAATTGCATTATATGGAATATTCTTGAAACAAGACAAGCTGTGACTTGATCCGCACAATTTTATTTTGAGTGGGTATCTAAAACAAATTTCATGCAGAATTGCAGTCAGTGTTTTACTATTTGTGGGGTGGATTACAACGACCGGACGCCGGGACAGAACGTTTTGTGCGTAACACGTGAGTTTATAATTGCATAAAAAACTACCAAGAAGAACTAAATAGGGAATATTCGGAAAATAAAGTTCTACGAAATATTATAAATGGAAGCGTTTGATCTTCCAAATTTAATAGTGATACTTTACCCTTAGTATTGTATTATGATGATTTCGAAAGCGGAAATCCACTTGGAGGCCATGCAGGAAATTATAGAATAAGCGCTATGTATTTTTACATTGCAACATTACCACCTGATCACATTAGCAAATTAGAAAATATATTTGTTACTTTCTTGCTTCATTCAATTGATAAGGCAACTTTTGGGAATTCTGTATTTCAAACTATTATTAATGAATTAACTGTCTTAGAAACTAACGGAAATGATATAAATATAAATAATAAATCTGTCAATGTCAAATTAGCATTGGTGCAATTACTGGTGATAACCTAGGAGTACATGGCATACTCGGATTATTTGAAAGTTTTTCAGCTACACATTTTTGCCGATTTTGCCTTATTTCTAAAGAAGAAACTAAAACACTTACGCATGAGATACAAGAATACATGCGAAAAGAGTCTGATTATGATGATCACTTGCATCGTAAAATTGGTGTTAAAGAAAATTGTATATTCCATTCATTACCTAACTTTCATTTGTATAGAAATGTCACTTGCGATGTTATGCATGACTTATGCGAAGGAGTTCACCGATATAGTATGGCCGTTTTAATCGATAATTTAATTAGAAAGAAATATTTCACATTGGATAACCTAAATGCTAGAATAAGATATTTTACATATCAAATTTCTGAAAAAAATGTTCCTCCTCCCGTAACAAAACAACATTTATTAAACGGATGTATTATTTTCTCGGCATCAGAAATGTTTGATTTAATTCCGGATAATGAAGCTTTATGGATATATTATTTAAGCTTATTGGAAATTACACAAATTTTAACTAGTCAATCAATAACTACTTCAATTTTACAGCATCTAGAAACTCTCATTGATGAACACCATCAGACGTTTCTCGCTCTTTTTAACACTTCTTTGAAACCCAAATTTCATCTTTTGGTACATTATGTTCACATAATAGAAAAATTGGTCCTCCTATTTTCATTAGCAGTTTCAAAGGTGAGGCCAAGCATAGAGATACTTTTAAATCTCTATGCTGTTGGGTTTAAAACTCAAATTAACACACTATTCTTATTTTATTTTAAGAGTTATTTTCCTTTTTTTTCCAATGGCTGTATTTGAAAGAAGACTGATAATTTGAAGACTACCAAAAGCAGATTTAAGTTGTGAATATTTGAAGGTGTTATTTATTTTTATTTTTATTAGTGTTAGGTTGAATACTCAAATTATCACACTACTCTTATTTTATTTTACTTGTTATTTTTCGTTTTTTTGTTTTTCAATGGTATTTGAAAGTAGATTAATGATTTGTAAACTATCAAATGTAAAAGTACAAACTCAAATTAAATTTATTCTAGGTTGTTTATACTTAACACAGTTATAAAGTTTCGTCATTCTCTAGTTTAGTTACATTGTTTTTTTAATAAAGAAAAATAAAATTTGCCAGAAAATATTTTTTTTTTACACCTAGTTATACCCAGTACAATAATAATTGTGCTTGATTTTAGGTACCTAGTATATATTTTTTTCTACCTGATGTAACAAAATTACGTGTACAAAAAGTGAGTACTTATAGATACCATAACTGAAAATAAAAATATGGCGAGTTTAATTGGACTCACCTATTCTTAAAATTTGCTTCATTTTTCTGATATGTAGTCTCTTGAAGCTTTGAAGTGGAAAAAGTACACTTAATCCATATAAACTCACCCTATTGTGATGTAGGGTATCTGTGCTCACCTTTTGTATACGTAATTTTGAAACATCCTCTAAACGAAAATATAATAGGTACCTAATATCAAAGCACAATTATTCTTATTTTGAAAATATGAATAGGTGATGATATTCTTGAATCAAAACTATATTTGAAAAAACGATGCTTCATACAAGAACAAGTATTCTAAAATCAAGAAACTGTATTCTCCAATTTTATACCCGCATACTAATTCTAAGAAAATATTGATTTGAGTTAAATAAATAAAATTCTCTATTGGAAATTCATTTTATGCGAATTTGTTTGAATTGAATACATGACTAATTTCCTTTAAATATATGGAAAATTCTTTAAGGAAATAAAATATTTTCTTTTTATGAAATAATATACGCAAGCAATATCTTTACTTACAAGAAGAATATATTTTTTTCGTTATATATAAATCACTTATTATCTTGGGGCAAATCAAATTGGTTTAATTGGAAATATTTTTTCTTTATGTGTACGTTCAATAATTTAGAAGAGCTGCCAATTCTATCGATTCTTGGCGTAGACGTTTAGCATGGGTTGTTGAGGCCCATGGAAGGCATATCGCCTCTTGCCCCTTAAACGTGTTTACTTTATTTTTTAGAATTTATAAATAAAAATATTAGTCGTATTGTTAGAAAACTTATCGTTAACTTTTTGAAAATTGGCTACGTTAAAGGAACTGGGAAATCTTTAATTTTTCCTCAACAGTCAAAATCTTCATTTCGAATCCTTATCCTACCTATTTCTCTTTCGAACAAGCCCGAAATAGAAGAAATATGTCGAGTAGAAAAAAAAATTCTAGCTGAAATAGCATAACGTAGATTTTGCTGTCAATATAAAACATTGAAATTCGATATTACAAAAAATTCAATATTTCACTTAGTTTTCGACCGATTTTTTCTGTCGAGGTCTTAAAATGTTCGCAAAATGATGAAATTTAAGAATTTATTAAAAAAACTTATACAGGTTGTCACAAAAAAGTTCCAGCGCTATCCAAAACTAGACAATTTTTGAAGGAGTCCACCATTTTGGATTTCTTGCAAATGTCAAAAGTTTTACCGTGATTCGTTAGTCTGTTCATTTCTCTTTCAAACAAGCCAAAACAAAAGAAAATTGGTCAACAAATAAAAAAGTTACAGCTCAAAAACAAAATTCCGGTTTTTTTTGGACCACCCTATATAATGGGGTAGTATCGTCAACGGAAAATTGTTCGAAAATAATTGTTCGAAAGAAAATTGTTCGAAAGAAAATTGTTCCATTCGAACAATTTTCCTTTCGAACAATTTTCCGTTCGAACAATTTTCCGTTCGAATAATTTTCCATTCGAACAATTTTCCTTTCGAACAATTTTCCCTTCGAACAATTTTCCTTTCGAACAATTTTCTGTTCGAACAATTTTCCTTTCGAAAAATTTTCTTTTTAAATAATTTTCCATTCGAACAATTTTCCTTTCGAAGAATTTTCCGTTCGAACAATTATTTTCGAACAATTTTCCGGGACTCAATTCGTAGTATACTATATGTAAGAAAATCAGTAAAAAAACTGCTCGACATTATTCTATAAGCTAAATAGTGATGGTATAGTGGGATACTAAATTATTTTTCAGCATAGTGTCTATAGAATTAGTCAGAGAAAAACAAACTGCAATTTGAATTTAGCGCCACAGCGGCGACCAATAGTATTCGAGCCCCTGACCATCTGGCAACGCTGCTCAAAATGCCTCTAAACGACAGATGACTCCTAAAGATAGGAAACTTAGGCATTTTTCCCTATCCTTGTCTAAGGGCCATATTCTCCGTAGTTCATAAAGCCTGGCTTAGTGGAAACGCTTGGCTTTTTGTATGACAAAGCCGAGCTTTTCCACTAAGCCAGGCTTTTTGGACTACGGAGAATATGGCCCTTACTCATGC